GTTTCTAGATACTTGAAAAATAAAAAAAAAAAAACAATGGGAGAGTTAAATTTTTTTTTTTCAATTTGGTGTGTGGAAAGATCTTATAAAATGTCAGTATTTTCCCCCCCTATGATTCACAAAATTCTGATAACATTTCTTCAACATTTACAAAATGGCCGGTGATTCACTTCCATATCATGCCATAAGTGTTGCTGTGGCTGCATCTCTTGTCAAATACTTGGGGGAGGGAAGTGGGGGTGTGTCTCTGTGGTGACATTATCAAACTGTCTGCCTCACGATCTGAAGGAGGTGGATTTGGTTCATTAGTGGAATTTTTATTGAGATCACTGCCAGTGCTATGGAGTTCGTGCTTTATGAGGTGCTTTCGGCACTCAACTTTATTTTTCATACTCTAATAAGCTGGCAATCATTTATTGATATCTTTTGTTTAATTACACTGAAACCTTGTTAGTGAATTCCCCCCCAAAAAATCAAAAGTTCGTGTTAAAATAATTTATGTTAAGCAGGGAATAATAATACATTCCTACTCTGACAAAAATTGTGTTCTTGCTAACCGAATGTTCTTCTTAAGCGAGTTCTTGTTAATGAGGTTTTACTGTAATTTTGAACTGTCATCAGATTTCTTTTGTGAGAAAAAAAAAAGGTAATCTTACTGTGATTTCATTCAGCCTTCTTGCTTGATAGTAAAAAAAAAGGTAAAGGTCCCTTTTCTACGCCTTTAGGAGTATAGGGCACATAGGGCTAGACCTATATTTTTATAGACCAATCGGCACAAGATGGGTGATGTAGTCAGCATCACGCCGACTGCCTTTACTTCCCGGGACTGTACCTGGTACCCACTCAAGACTGGGTCGACCTGGAAATCAAGGTAATTTTTTTAAAGTCTGGCTCCGCCAGGGAGCAAATCCACGATCTTCTAATTCGCGTCGAGCGTCTAGCCGCTCCGCCACGGCGACTCCCTTTCTTGCTTGATACAAATGATATGATAATTCTTTATTTTGTTTCATCTGTGTTTCAGTACTCCAAGAACCAACTCCACAGCTTCACTGAGAAGCATCACCAGCAACAGCACCGGGTCCACAGCAGAACAACAAGGTTGGGGCTGTAGCTTGTCTGTCTGCCTTCTGGTTTTCTTAGGTTTGAGAATGTTAGCTTCCTGTGAAGTACTTTTCAGTATCTCTATTTCTGCGGTCCATCTTCTGCATAGTCGACCTCTCGTTTTTTTACCATTGTTATACAGATACAGCAGTAACGGATCCAGAGGTCGACCACGCAGATATGGAACGCAGAAATATCAGAGACGCCAAATAGTACTTTATACGAAGCGAACAGGAGGGCAGGTTTCAGAGATCTCTTCCTGCCCTGATGCCGCAAGGCAATCCAGAAAAAGAAGAAGATAATGTTATGATTTTGTGTTGTGCAAGACCTCTGTGGAGATGTGCTCGGCATGGTCAGGTCAGCATTCTGCACCTCAGGACAGGGCATAACAAACTGAACTAGCATATGTACAGGCTTTCATCTCAGTAGCTCACCATTGTGCCCATGTGGGCTGCAAACAGCAGAACATGTCCTGCAAGTCTGTCACTTGTACGGCCCAGTGAATCCACTCTCAGAGCTGTGTGAAACTAAAAAGAGACACACACACACAAAAACCAGTCAGTTTTATCACGGAAGAAGAAAACAATCCAGACTCGGATAACTGAGTGCTGTGATGTCAATTCTTGACTCAACTCAACTCAACTCAGACTGCTGCTTACAGCATGGGAACTAGAACTCTTCGCTGGTTTTTGAAGATGACGACAGAGCCCTTATGGGAGTGCCCCAAGTGCTGTAATGTCAGTGCTGTAATGTCAGTGCCAAAGAAGAAAACAATAATCAATGAATTATTACTATCAAAATCTGGCATTCCTCTGCAAATTTGTCTTCATTTTCAGATGATGATACAGTTGGCCCTTCTTTGCCACGTATCACTGGGGTGGAATTGCGGCACAGTGAGTCTCTGGCCCCGTATCCACTGCCCATGCCAGCTTACGGAGGCTACTTTGCTCCACTCAACGAGTGTATGCCGGAGAATTTCTCACCAACTCCAGGCTTTCACAGGTAATCTGAACGTTTACTTCTTGTGCTGCCTTCTACATTTTTTAACACGATTCATTTTAGACTCGTAAATTGTTAAATTGTTTTGCATTTTAACTTACTTCTTTATTGTATTTGATGCTGAAGATGCAGCATTACTTTTTTTTTTCTACAACTTATTGCATTTTGATATTTGATGTAATGATAACAAACATTCAGCAACATCATTGCTGTGTTTTTGACTTGCTCCTTATCATATTTGATACCATTCGTAGTAATAAACTTCACAGCAATCGGGTTTTCCCATACATGCTCTGTTCCTGTGCCAGTGCAAATCAAATGAAATGTCCCTCAATGTTGCAGTTGAAAACTTGATGAACAAACAACCAGTCCCGGTACAATCCAGAAATATGTCCACGCAGTCAATGCGTAAATGCATTGATACCAAAGATGCAGCAACAGAATTGTAATTTTTAAGCACATTCCATTCTAATGTTGCAACCTTGTTCCATGTTGCAGCACTTGTTATTCTATCATGTTTAAATATATTAATTATTTAAAAATAAGTAGGGAAATAAGCATTGCCTTGTTTTTGCCTTGCTGCTTAGGAAATTTAATACTAGAAATTTGGAATTAAAATAGCAGTAATGTAGCAGTTGTTTTTTTTTCTTTTTCATTTTTTGAAGTCAAGTTTCTCACAAGATCAAAATTCCCATCATTCTAATGAAGTAAAGATCCCTTTCAACACCAGTGGCGCTTTGGGTATTTGAGACTAGACTCACATATTTTTTTTAACCTGTCAGTTATGGATGGAAGTTGTGGCCAACAGCACGTCGACCACCTTAAATTTCCATGACAACCTGGTACCTGGTTAGGCTGGGTCCATCCGGGAGCCAAGATCATGTCTGGAGGAAAAAAAATGCCATTTCATGCTGAATGTGAACTCATGACCTTCAGATCTACAGGCGATCATTTAGCCGCCACACTATGGCACTTCCCTATCATTCTAATGATCGTGACTCAAATACTAGTTTTGTAGCCATTAATGACATATAAATGTACCTTCTTACTTATTTTTTGTGATATAGTGACTATAGAGTGAGCTGGAATGCCTGTTTCTATGTATCCATCATCGTGTAGCAGGTCCTTTGCAGAATGCTACTCACATCTCGGTCTGCCTCATGCAACTTTCCTACCCAAGCTATCACCTGTATCTTGTGTCCATCTCTGTGTTGGTCAGCCTCTGTACATCTTTCCTAGTACCAAGCTTCTGCTATTATTTTGTCCAGTCTGCTGTAGTGCATGATGTGGCCAAAATAGTGCAATTTCCACAACAAGTTTATAAGCCGATCTTCCTTGATATTTAGATTTTGTTAAGAATTTCAGTATTTTTTTGTCTTCTCTGTCCATGGTATTCTGGAAATCTTATATAGAATTTCAGCTCAAAAGCCCCTGTTTTTAGGTGTACACAGTTCTGTTGTTGTTGGGTGTATGTTTAAACATAAATAATTTACTCCACAGAAGCAACATTGCTGTGATGTTCCTCTGTGACCTTGTACTGGATGGCCTAGAAATTGATTGGTCGCCTCACTTGCCACTCATGCTGCATGTCATTTTCCTAGGTAAGTTGAAACAGTTCTCCTGGTTTAAATACTGAGACTACAGACAACAAATTGCACAATTTATTGCTTGGCATATTTCTCTGTATCTTATCTGATGCATCGTTGCAGAGTTTAAGTCAGTTTGTGAGGTCCTGGTGTAGGTTCTGGAGCCGCATTTGGCGGGGGAGGGGGGGGTGTAGATATAGCCCAGAGCCATAATAAAAGAAAATGATGAATGGAAAAAATCACAGATCTGGCACTCACTGGGCGACAGGTTTAATCATGTGCCCGAAGTCTAGTGATGATGTCCCATGGAAGAACCAGGTTCTCTTCTTCGGGTTCATCCAGACTTACTTGGAGGATCTCCACTCAGTTATGTTTGCAGGTATTTTGGATTCTCAGGGTTTTCTAACAGGCTTACAGACTGGCTGGCTCTGCAAAACTTGGGGGAATACTGATGCATGATAAGGCAGACATGGTTAGTGCCTTGTGGGAGAGCTTGTACAGTTCAGATGAGCAGATGGACCACCATAGTCTGGTGAGATTGATGCAGGGGGGAAGTGACGAGAGGTTTTGGCAGATGTTTGAGGCTCAGAGGAAAGGCAAGACGGACGTTTAATCAGAATGCTACTGGCACCACTAGTTTCGGAACTCTGCACTTGATGCTGAAGATGGGGATGGAACACTTATGCCCTGAGTGCTGTGATGTCGGTTCTTAACTCAACTCAGTTTTTTCTTTAAAAAAAGAATAGCCTTGAAGTCCCCTCTCCCCCCCCCCCCCCCCCCCCCCACCCCCCCCCCCACTCATTTTTTTTTGTTTTTATACACAGCTTAAGAAATACCACTTCCAGAGAGATAGAAGACAGTGGGAGAAAATTGTTGGTAGCCTCTTCATCATTGCATGAAAGGTTGTAAGCATACAGATTTGTACATGCTGTTAAAGAAAGCAGGATCTGGAGAAGTATATTTTCCATGCCAGTTAACAAAACATGAGTGATGAGGATGAAGATTTTTTTTCTTTTTCTGAAAAACAAGCCTTTTGCTGGCTTTGTTGTTGTTGATATGTTGGTGATTTATTGTAAACTTTTATATTTTATCTGTGTGGATTTTTATCATGGTATGGGGCGTCGCAGGTTGAACCAGCCTAAAATGGGTACCAGGATGGATGTCCTGGGGAAGTAAAGACGGCCGGCGTAATGCTGACCACATTACCCACCTAGTGCCGATGGTCTGTAAAAATATGGGTTCTTTTCCCATATACCCAATGCACCTAAAGCGTGAAAATGGATCTTTTACTCACTTTTATGCTTTATATTACAGGTCTGGATCATTCAAGAGCCTTAGTTTATGAGCACTGTAAGAAGTTGCTGCAGAACTTACTGCTCCTGGCTTCCTCCCAGGAGCAGATTTCCTCATCAACCTCACGATTGCTGCTGTCATACCGCAGCTCTGTTGCAGATACACTGAAGGTGATATCGGAGGACAGAGATGCTCAGCTGACTCTGGGTAAGTCTCTTCTTTTTTGTTCACCGGCTGTAAATCCTGACGGAAAGTTCTGGTTGTTCCCAGACTTTAGTCTTGTTTAAGAACATCAGTTTTGCGTGCACATCCTTTTAACAGATGTGGCCTATTTGTAAGCCCTCAAATTAGGGCCCCCGGAACCCAGAGTGGGAACTCCTGTTATAGATGTTATATTTTAACTCATTAATTACACATGAACTGCAATGGTAGAGTGGTCAGTGTGCTTGCCTATCAAAATAATAGGCGCCAGACTCAGTCCCCAACAGAGAGGTGGTTGATGACGTTTGATGACTCAGCCTCATTAAGATAGGTGCCAGATGATGTTCAGAAAATTGTCTGGAAAGCAAATGCGACGAGGAAGGCAGCTGGGGATACTTGTCATGGTGTGGATTAGCAGTTCCTAATTTAAGGATTCCAGTGTGGCTTTGAAGTTAGCAAGTGTGGTTAATAAATCTGTAATCCTCGAGCACTGGACTTCGATTTCTTGTGGCAGTGGCCAGAGGTATGGGAGTTGCACCATAGAAGAGATTGAGACTTCTCCACGTAATATTCACAAAGACAGCAGTGGTACACTTTAGCCAACCTTCATTGTGGATATGGCACATAAAAAAAAAATTATATCATTAATAAAAACAAAAAAAACTTCAACCATTTTTTCTTTTAAAAAATTTTTTACAAAAGGGCAAATAGATTTGTTTGTGTATTAACGATTCTAATACCCCCCCCCCCCCCCCAAAAAAAACATTCCAAAAATTTGGGGTCAGTGGCAGACCTTTGAAAATAACAGTGGTCCACAGGTCTGATCTGTTTGGGAACCTTTGGAATATAGAATATGAGGCCTAACATTCTCAGTGATGGTGTCTGCTGTAGAAACGTCTGAGAAACTGAAACATGTAGAGCATCCTTGATGAATCTTCTTTAACCCAACTGTTTGAACGCGGAATCAACTATAGGTTTCCCCAAAATTTTCATACGTTTTAAATCGAGTGTAATCTTATACGTGGAATATGTTTAAAATATTTATTTTTTAATTTTGGGCTAAAAAAATGGGTGTTGTCTTATACATGGAATGTGTTTAAAATATTTATTTCTGGTTCAAGTTATGAAGTCAGGCCCAGAAAGAGAGTGACTTCCCTTGCCATTCATGCCTGGGTTGTGTAACAGGGCCTGTCTATGTTGCGGGGGATGTCACGCTTAGTTATCGGCCACCAACATGACATATTTTATGCGTTGTTGACATAGGCTGCACTCTGTCGTGGGGTGTAGGCTGAGGCTGTGGTGTAAAGGGGGGGGGGGGGGGGGGGGGTGTTTGGGTTAGGACCATTTCTACAGGTTTTTGGAACCGTTAAAAGCGCTGATATCGTGGAATATAGAACACGCGCTGTTGCCAGCCGCCGACAACAACGCATGTGATATGTCGTGTTGGTGGCTGGTCACTAAGCGTGACATCCCCGCAACATAGGACAAGACCTTTGACATGACCAGGCATAAATGGCAAGGGAAGTCACTCTCTTTCTGGGCCTGACTTTGTTATGAGCACCTTATTTCTTAATTTTGAGCTACAAAAATTAAGATAATCTTATGTATGGCATGTGTTAAAAATATTTATTTCTTAATTTTGGGCTACAAAAATTAAGATAATCTTATGTATGGCATGTGTTAAAAATATTTATTTCTTAATTTTGAGCTACAAAAATTAAGATAATCTTATGTATGGCATGTGTTAAAAATATTTATTTCTTAATTTTGGGCTACAAAAATGGAGGTCGTCTTATAATTTGGAATGTGTTTAAAACATTTATTACTTAATTTTGGGCTACAAAAATGGAGGTCGTCTTAATCTTTACATGGAATATGTGAACAATATTTATTTCTTAATTCTGGGCTACGAAAGTGAGGATCGTTTTATACATTTAGGGTGTCTTGAACATGAGGAAATATTGAATTACTTAACTATATGGAAAATTCATGCAGAGATAATAGAGAGGTTAAAATAAAGTAGACAAAGACAGCTTGTTAAGTATGTTTAACTCCTTCTTTGTCAACAGAGACCCCTTCCAGAGATCCTCACATTCAGTACATCACAAAATCCACATTCAGCATCGACAGCAGCGCCACAGTGACACCGGACAGCACCAGCGACTACACTGATCCTGAGATGCTGGAAACTGTAGATGAGGTCATCAGAGCAATGTTAAATTTCATGGAGTCCAGGTAAGAACAGTCATTAGAGCAATTAGAGCAGTGTTAACTTTCACAGAGTTTAAGTAAAAACAGTCGATAGGGTCATTAGAGCAATGTTAAATTTTCTGCAGTCCCAGTATGAAGAGTCATGAGGATTATTAGCACAACATTACATTTCATGGAGTCTAGTAAGGAATTTTTTAAGATCATCAGAGTAGTGTTACATTTCCTAGCATCCAGGTAAGAACAGTCTATAGAGCCATACGAGCAGTGTTAACTTCCATGGAGTCTAGGTAAGAACAGTCTGTAGAGCCATTAGAGCAGTGTTAACTTCCATGGAGTCTAGGTAAGAACAGTCTGTAGAGCCATTAGAGCAGTGTTAACTTTCATGGAGTCTAGGTAAGAACAGTCTGTAGAGCCATTAGAGCAGTGTTAACTTCCATGGAGTCTAGGTAAGAACAGTCTGTAGAGCCATTAGAGCAGTGTTAACTTTCATGGAGTCTAGGTAAGAACAGTCTGTAGAGCCATTAGAGCAGTGTTAACTTTCATGGAGTCTAGGTAAGAACAGTCTGTAGAGCCATTAGAGCAGTGTTAACTTTCATGGAGTCTAGGTAAGAATAGTCTATTGGGTCATTAGAGCATTGTTAACTTTCATGGAGTCTAGGTAAGAACAGTCTGTAGAGCCATTAGAGCAGTGTTAACTTTCATGGAGTCTAGGTAAGAATAGTCTATTGGGTCATTAGAGCATTGTTAAATTTCTTAGAGTCCAACTGTGAACAGCTTTAGGATCATTAGAGCAATGTAAAATTTCCTGAAGTCTAGGGAAGAACAGCCTTTAAGATCATACAGTTCATTAAAAAGAACCAGATGAAATGGTTTGGTCATCTGATAAAAATGCCCTGGTACCAGCTGCCACAAAGACCCACACTGAAGAAGTACAATGAACACAGAGCACACAAAAGATGGAACTATGACATGGAGAACAGCCGTAAAGAAATGAACATCAGCTTATGCTACACATTAGAAAAAGCACACCAAGGATCCTTACATCACCCCCAAAATTTGGAAGAGGTAACTGGAAAAAAAAGGAAGAGGAGGAGGAAGAAGAAGAAGACCTAGTAAAAACAGATCCTGAATTTCCAGTTTCACTTTAAAAACAGTTTACAGTTAGGGACTGTGTGCAGTCATTTGTTAAATCTATGATTTGTTGTTTGCTAATATAAAACTAAAACAGATGATTGTCATATTCTCAAACAGGAAAGGCAGGCCACTTTGGAGCTCAGAAGATATAACTCCCAAAATGTTGAGTACCCAGAGTGCAACACATCTTGGTTATTTCCTGAAATACACTGTCAAGTGCTTCAAAGAGTTATCACCCTTGGCTCTGGTGGAACAGCGGTGGTCACAGGTGGCGCTTCAGCTAGCATTATCATGCTCATCAAGACATTATGCTGGCAGGTCTTTCCAGATTCTGAGAGCTCTGCAGATCCGTCCATCCACTCAGATGTTGTCAGATATTCTGTCCCGGCTTGTTGAGACCGTGGCAGAACAAGGAGAGGACATGCAGGTAGGTATGGTTTGTTGGCACCTTTTCATCGCGCTCCAGGCGATTATATTATTTTGGCCCATGGGAAGGCATGGGATTCACAGTGATGGCGAGTTTGACTAGCAAGACCTGCCACAGTCAACACCTTATTGACTGAGGGCTACCCAGTTTGAGGCAGGCGATAGCTGATCAGTGACAATTGAAAAAGTCTCAAACCATCAGAGGCAACTGGTGGTGCCCTTTCTTTTAACAGCTAAACAAGGACATACTCATTACTGCCACCTCTTGATTTGTTTCCATGAACAGTTAAAGCCAGGGGTGAACTTTCTCTTCTCCATAGCATAAAACCTGGGCAGTATTATAGAGTATTTGTTGCAAGGTATGAGATTACTTGCCAGTTTTTTTTTTTTTTTTTTTTTACATAGATGTCGGCTTCAGTAGGTCTGCAGTAATCATTGTATGTTTCCGTAATTGTTCAGTTCAGCATCATTCCTTATTCTTGTCCACTGCTATGTTATCCATTAGTTTCTTAAAACATCTTTCTCTTGTATACTTACCATGCACCTCTCCTTCACTATAATTTTTAGTCATATATTGTGTTTTTTCATGGCAAAATAATATATCATTTGTCTTACTCTATATGGGAGCCGCCTTGATGTTGCGCCTAAATGCTCACCTCAGGCCCGAAGGCTGTAGGTTCAAATCTGCTTCATGCCAAGTGTTTGCTTTTTCTTTTTAAAAAATGACTGCTTCTTAGGTTGAGCTAACCTAAATCAGGTGCCAGATTAAGTCTTGGGCAGTAATTGCGGCAGGCATTATGTTGACTACATCACACCACCCCCCCCCCCCCCTCCAGTGCTGATTGGTCTATAGAATATAGGTCTGTCACTATTGCATGGGAGTCGCTGTGGCATAGCGGCTAGATGCTTGCATGCAGATCAGAAGGTGGTGGATTTGCTGTCTGGCAGAGCAGGACTTTTTTCAAAAATGACCTTGACTCCCTGGTCGACCCAGCCTTGAGTGTGTACCAAGTGCAGTCCTGGGAAGTAAAGACGGCAGGTGTGATGCTGACCACATCACCCATCTTGTGCCGATTGTTCCATAAAGATATAGGTCTAGCCCTGTATGCCCTATACGCCTAAAGGCGTGGAAAAGGGACCTTAACTAACTATTTGAGAAAATTCATGCAGAGATAATCGAACATTTGAGCAATCTTTATCTTGATATCAGCTCAACTGCGGCCATTTGTATTTTG